AAGGCATAGGATCAACAGGAACCTTGGGGAATGTTGAATGAGGTTATAAGGGGAAAATTAGTGGGGAAAACTCTCTAGTCCTTCAAATTATTTAATGCCCATATACTAATTCAAGAAGTATGGGAAACAAGCAGGAAGAACTATAAGTCCTAATATGCAGCCAAGATATGATTTAATTGGGATAACTGAGAGTTGATGGGCGAGTTCACCCACTGGTATATTGTCATTGATGGGTAAAAGTGTCAGCCAACACAGACAAGGGGGAAAAAAGAGGAGATTTTACATTATATATTAAAGACTGATCAAACAACCATCAGATAATAATTTCTGTGGTCCTAGACCTGATGTGCATCTGAATTTGAAGACTTAGGCCTTCTATAGGCATTCAGTTTCTCCTGAGAGAGAGTTGCTGCTCTCCTAGAAAAAAACACACGTGTAGATATTCAGGCCTTTTCTCCCAGAGTAAAAATGGCTACTCTAGGAGAAAATAAATTGGGAACCATAGTTGGCGGAAGGCTGGGGCTAACAGGGCTTAACCTCCCCAAACTGGGCCGGTGACAGGAGCACCAGCACCACTGTGGCGCTGCACCCAGTGCCCCTGCCATGCACTCCTCTGCCGCCACACGCACAGCATGTGCATGTGGTGCATGCCTGCCCCAAAATGGCCCTGCAAGAGGGAGGGGCAAGGTCAGGTTGGCGCACTCTGCACCGCCCAGCCCCCCCCCCCAATAATATAATAATATTTTCCAGTGCTGCTTATGATTATTGGGAACAACCAGGCTTAAATTATTCCCAGAAGACTTTCTCCTGGGATAGCAAATGACTGTACATGCCTTAGCATCTCTCAAAAGAAAACATCCCCCTACCCCCCTAGGGGGACACTGTCACATTTGGACTCTGCTGCTCCAGCAAGAAACACAACATACCCCTTTAACAATCCCCATGTGCTGCAGGGAAACACAGACTGACCATAGGCGGTTTGGGTTGTCTAATCAGGGCTGCCCTATGCACTACTGCCATCAGTTGCCAGGATGATAGAGCCTGCAGAGCACGCGAAAATGTGTTTACTGTTCCCTCCTTCCCCCCCACCCGGCTGCACAGCGATAGCACTGCAAGCTTTCTGCTCTTCAGGGTCTCAGTATTCAAATGTCTGTACACATAGCACTAGATAAATTGTTCTCTTAGAAAAAACCTTGGAGAATTCTCCCAGATTATTTGAAAATGTGTACGCAGCCCTAGATTTGGAAAGGCTGTGGGGTCTACATGCCTATCATGTGAGTGAACTGAACCCCTGAACACACCTTTCAAAGGTTACCTGGACACAAGAAAGAAATTGGTTTGTACATAGCTTCTGTTTCTTTGACGCAAAAAGAAGGCATGAAAGATTTCTTTGAGTTCTGCTCTAACTCCCACGCTTATCGTACTTAATTCCCCTTTCCTCAGAAAACTTTCTGACCAAGTGGATCCTTATTCAGACTTTGGCTGACTTTAGTAGAATTTGAAGAGGGTCCCTGGATTGCTCCTGGTATTATTACAGTTATTAAGGGCATCTCAATGTTAAACTTGATACACTGTGAGGAGGACTAAAATCTTCAGTAGCTGGCAACAGGGAAAAGAGGGTAAGTTGGGGCAATGTTAACCCCCATAGGTACTGACCATGCTGATGCAGTGGCTCTGGAAACTGGTGAGAAGATTCACAGCCTGAATCCAGAGGTGGGTCGTCTGGCCCACAGGGATATTGTAGGCTAGATATCCCACCCCTGGTGGTGACCTGTGTCCTGGCTGCTGATAGAGAATGTCATTTGAGTTTGACACCCCTGCTTTATCATGTGCGTTCCTTACAGCATTGGCATACATGTTTCTGACAGCAGGAGTAAAACTCATCTCTTCAGCAGTTTGAGGGTGAGATTATACATTACAATTAAATTATGTTAAGAACACTTAAAACTTGAATGATTACACATTAAGGCTCATTAACTAGTGCCAAGTGCCCATTGGGTATCTTAACCTTACGCTACTTTGGGCAAGGATTACATATGAACTGGGCTACTTTGCTTGAGTTAAATTAACTTTTGATAATTCACCTAAGATAAAACCAGCAATTTGCAGTTCTCCAGTATCACATGAGGCACTGCTCCCAGGTGGACTAGCTGTCATTCAGGATTCTATGGTCCTGGACTGACAGCTAGGAACAGCTGGACAGTAGGTGCATGGGTGGATGGGGATGGGATGTGGTATGGGGGAAGAGCAGGAAT